TAGTTAATTTTCAGCTTTTCCACGGGTATCTCAAGTACTAATCATCGCATTTCAATGAAACTTGGTACATAGATCCTTTAGGACTATGCAGAGACCTGATTAGTTTTAGGGCAAATAATTGTGCATATTAATTAACTAATTTGCATAATTAATTTTCAGCTTTCCTACTGATATCTAAAGTACTAATCACATTTCAATGAATCTAGAATTATGCAGACCCAATTAGTTTCCGGTAAATATTTGTGCATATTAATCACCTAATTTGCATAATTAACCAACTTTCACACTGATATCTCAGGTACTAAACATCACATATCAATGAATGTACATGGATGCTGTAGGACAATAGACAGACCTGGATAATTGTGGGTTAAAATCTGTACATATTAATTACCTAATTTTCATAATTAACCAATTTTAAGCTTTCACACTGATATCTAAAGTACTAATTATTCCATTTCAATGAAACTTAGTACAAAGATGCTCTAGAACAATGTACAAACCTAATTAGTTTGGGGTAAAAATCTGTTCATATTAATTTCCTAATAAGCATAATAATTCATAATTTTTGGGTTCTAATCACATTTCAATTAAACTTGGAAACATAGATTTTCTGTTACATTGCGCAGACCTCATTAGTTTTACACTCAAATCTGTTCATATTAATTTTCTGATTTGCATAATTAGTTTTCAGCTAAGTAATTTCGAATTATATTTAATGTGTCTCCAATACTCTCAGCACATGGGAGTCCTTTCTAAGCTTTCTTTGGGTTTTTTCTCTGGCTACAGTGCACATGCCAATTTCAATCTTCAATCGTTTTTATCACTGGCACATGCAGAGTAACTTAGCAACCAGAGATCTCAAAACTCGCCTATATGGCAAGTCTGATATGTTTGCTTGAATCTTTGTAGGGACTATGAAACAAAATATTGTTAGTTATGGTTTTTGACTGCATAAATTATGAACTTTTTACATCAAGTGAAGTAGTTGAATGATAATTTGCTGAAATCATGTAAATTATACAATTATATCTACAAAGTTTATTCACCTTTACCAAATACTATATGTAGCGCACATAACCATAACATGTAAACATATATAATCTTATATGTTAATTAGACATTTAATATTCACACTGGGAAGAAAATTTTATATGCAAATTTCATAGTAAAATGTCATTTAATATGCTTTTGCATATAATTTTTAATTAAGCTTATTTAGCTACTCTATTTCATGCCTTCAGGTATATTTTCATTAAAATGACTTGTAAATAGTTTGGTTGTTTTTTTATTATGCTAGAACCAAATATTTATTACTTCAACTTTGCAAAACACTTTTCTATCCAATGTAGACTTGATGGCTTTGTTTAGGTCATTCCATTTTCATGAAAGATGAAAAGTAAAGTGCAGTTTTTCAAAATGAAACTCGTTCATGAAAAAAAAATCATGTTATTTTGGATGTTTCATATTCTTGAATTGTATACAGTGTAGATAAACAAGACATAAAGAATACTGTGGAATACTTTATTTTCGCTGGAATAAAGTTTTGCTGAAAAGACTTTTTGGGCGTTTTGCTTGGAATTTATATTCACTGATTTTTGATGAGTTTAATGTGAAATATAGGAAAAAAAGTATATTCGCTGGATTTTATTTTCACGGAATCATCCCTTCAGCGAAAATAGCGAAAATAAATTCTAAGCGAAAATAAAGTATTCTACAGTAGTTATTAAAATACGAATAGATAATCTTATACAGTACACCATCTGTTAAAGGGGAACCGCAAAATCCCATAGATTGCACCAAAGAATCATGGGACACTATTGTTCATGTTGTTTACAAAGTTGATCTATCTTTTGTTATCCATTGTAATTTTAATCCAGAAAGTAAATTTGTTGTGAGAGTAGTCTTAACTGAAAGTGCCCCTTTAAGTCTAGAATGACGTAACTGCCAAAGTGATTTGCAAAGTAGCCCGCCATCTTGCTAAGTGACAGTTCAAACCGATATAACTATGTCAGTATACATGTATGTACCTGTAACAAGGCTTGTTTTCAGTTAATTAATAATGGTAGCCAAAGGAGGACCAAAAGACCTTGCCTTGTGTTGTGGGTTCTTTACCCATTATTGGGGTGACCAGGTTTGGAAATGTACACGAATTCGACACACATGCTTGCAATGACGTCAACACGAAGATGTATTAACTTTCAACTCAATATTTAATAACACAACTATAAATAAAGAGGGCATATACGGAACAACTGATATATACACACGGCTTCAAGCTCCAGTCACGAGTGACAAGTGACTGGAGTATGTAGAGCCAAAAGTAAGGAAAATATGTAAAGTTTAACAAAAGTATTGATCTATTCCAACTGTAAACGTCTTAACTATTTGGTGTTTCAACCAAGTGAACAATTCATACCAAAGTTGGCAAAAGTATTAAACCCAACAAAGCATTGAACAAAATAACACACTACGACTCTAAAATAATTCTGAAATAATTATCATGCATACCATGTTTGGTTTAGTCTTGTACATCTATAAAATGCTTTTGTTTTTCAGAAATTGTGGTAATACACAGTTTGAAAGAACTGGAATGATGAGTGTAAGTACATATTGTTGTCATATAAATACATTTAAAATCATCCATTGAGAACAATAAGAGAAATATTTTGTGAATAGTGTCACTGTCTAGTCTATTGCGGAACTATATTGATGAAATTTCTTTTTTCACTTCAATGTTTTGTAGTAAAATTACAAAGAGATTTTTTATATATGCAGTTAATATATAACAAAGGTTTCCAGAAGTGTTCAACGTGAATTTAAATCATATTTAGTGAACACATTGTCAAAAACTTGCCATTCTAGCCATTTCAGCTCCTTGTGTCAATAGCAATTGTAATCAATCAATGTCAGACAGCTATAAATGACTTCTCTAAAACCACTGAACTGTTTGATGCTATCTTAGTTGGTTTAATTATGATGGAGGAGTTAATTTTCACAGTAACTCATTATTCTCAATGCATCCCATATGCATTGAGAATAATGAGTTACATAATAATTGTTTATTCATGGCTAAAATTGGACACATGTGGTATTGCATGAAGTGATATTGATATTTGTTCCTACAATACTCACTTGAAAAAAATATTAATCTTGCTACTTATGTATACGACGTCATCTTTGTATAGCAATATCTCTCAGTCTCTGGAGGGGGGATACAGCCACTATACACATCATTCTGTATACAAAGGGATTACCCTTAAAAAATATGTAATTTTACTTTAAATCAGGTATATTCTTTGTGCTTTACAGGAGAGAAAAGTACCTAAGTTAGAAAGTGAAACTCTTTTACTTCGAGGTGAAGAACTCAAGTATGTGAGTACCTAAATCTGGTGTATGATTGGTGGATATATAATACAATGCTGACATGACAAAAATAATGGAGGAAGTCTTACGCAATCATGGAGCTGTCTCCCTGTTGGAAAATTATGTCAAACATTGAATTGTTGATTACTCTTCTGATAATAATTTTAAGAACAACTGTTAACTGATCACGACAAAAGTTGGATGGATGAGAAAAAAAGAAATCTATTTTACGATTGGTATAAACATGTATGATAATAGCAGATAATCAGGACTTAGATTTCAAAGGCGTCAAAGGCAAATTTGCCTTGATGCCTCATGAGTTTGCCTTGGTGCTTTTTAAAAAATAAAGATATTCCTCAATATATACAGATATTCCTTTATGGTAAGGCAATTTTTATCAATTTTGGCCTTGAAAAAGTGGTGCCCTTGCAACTTCAAACTTCAAGCACTGGATAATTATTGCAAATAAAAGGGAACTCTTTCCATCACCTGTATATACAGATGATTGTAAATTGCTTTTAGTTTGTTGTTCAAACATTGTGTTAATAAATAATGTATAGAGAGTAATGTTTGTAATCCTTGATAAATCTGAAATGCTGTGGGGGTGACTGTGTGATTTAATTATTAGGACAGTTCTCCATATTGTGATAATTCTCTCAGGTCGACTGGTTAATGTGATTTGTACTCTGAAGAGTAAACTTCAGCTGTAACATCTTTGTGAACATCTTCTATATCTGCTTGGTATGAGAACACAATTACTGTTGCTGACATAGCCTGACAACATGTCTGTGTATTTGTCTGATATACAGCTAGACACATCTCTATATCCTGACTTGCTTAGGATCTATAATGCCTTCCACTCAATATGTACCACTCTTCAAATACCCATAATATATATGAGGTTTCCTTCGTTGTACTGCACTTCAGGAACATGTATAATTCAAATGTCCAATAATATGCACATTCCACTTGATATACTTCTCTAACACTTACTATGCAAAGATACAGAGACTAAGGAATGTATTATATAAATATGCGTGCTATATATTGGTCAAATTAAGTGCTGCATAAGGAAAATTCTCAGCAGTGTTCATTGCCATGTTGCTATCATTTTCATTCAACCAATCACCTATGTTCAAAAGGTGAACATAATGATATACGAGTGACATATAGTGAGTTAAACACTACATGCATTCTTGGTGTTAATAGAGTGGCATGGAGCACTGCATACTGTGGTCAAACTAATTTACCAACAACAGCTTCTGTGGGATTGTCAACATTAGGAATAACCAAATACTGTGGAATACCTTATTTTCGCTTGGAATTAATTTACCCTGAAAGAATAATTTAGTGAAAATAAAGTCCAGTGAATATACTTTTTTTCCTATATTTTACATTCAACTCATCAAAAATCAGTGAAAATAGATTCCATACAAAGCATCCAAAAAAATTAATTAATTCCAGCTGAAATAAAGTATTTTACAGTGTAGGTTACAAAGCTGCTAGACTTGCTTGTGAATTCCTTTTCTAGACCAAAGTGTATGAGTCTTTTATTGTTAATTAATATTCTCAAGAATATTTTACTTGCATTTTGTCATCCAGTATAATATGCATTTCCACATTCCAATTCTTTAAGTACTGATTTTTTAATTTAAATTGTATCTTTTATTATAAATATTTAAAAAAAATTATAAATACATAAGGATCTTTCAAATTCATTATTGTAATATTTTATGAGGTACACATTTTAATGTGAGGTTGATTATTAAAATAATACTGAATTAAAATTAATACATGCATAACTGTTATTGACTGGGGAATCCTTTTAACACTGTCGCCATGGTTCATAAATAAATGAAGTAATAGATAATTTAACAACCTCAATTGTAGCTATGTTTGGCTTTATTTTCAAATACCAGAAACATTGAAGGAAGATAGTTCTCTATCTTGAACCCCACAATATTACTTGAAGATATTGTGCATAACTGAACTAATGTGCTACAATAGAGAATGTTATTATACATTTAGAGCTTTCAGGTTTTAATATAAGACTTGTTCTCGCTTAATTTTTTACTCCTGTGTGTAAAGCACAAAATGGGAGTCTTTGCTGTTGGTGTGCCTGTATGTGTGCATGTGTCCGTCCATCTGTTCCACTGATAACTCAAAAACCATATGTTGTTTTTTGATAAAACTTGATGCATAAATGCTCTTGGGCTAATTCACAGATTTGGTTAGCGTTTAGTTAAAACCCATGCATATTAATTACCTAGTTTGCATGATAATTACTAATTTTTAGCCATTTCATGACTGTTCCACTGATATCTAAAGATATTAATTATATCCACTGATATTAATTACCTAATTTGCATAACAGTCAATTTTCGACTTTTTCTCTGACATATCGAGTACTATCCAATTTCAATAAACTTCGTACATGTCATGGAACAATACACAGACCTGATTCGTTTTAGGTTAATAAATTTGCATATTACCTAATTTGCATAATTGGTCAGTTTTCAGATTTTGATATTTCGAATATTGATCATTACATTTCAATGAAACTTGGTACATGGGTGATATAGGACTATACTCGGACCTGATTACTTTTGGGTAAAAATCCCATGCATACTAATTACTTATTTTGCATAACAATTAGTCAATTTTTGGCTTTTCGACTTTTATCTCGGGTAGAAAATCATTTTTTAATAAAACTTGGTACATAGAACAATACACAGACCTGATTAGTTTTAGGTTAATATTTATTACCCAAATTTACACAAATCAATTTTTCAGCTCTTCTATCAGTATCTCAAGCACTTATCTTATTTCAATGAATCTTCGTAAATATATACTCTAAGACAATGCAATGATCTAATTAGATTTGGGCTTGTATGCATCCATAATAATTAATTTTAGTACGTCTCCATTACTTTCAGCACACTGAAGTTCTTTGATTTATGTTCAATGTTACTGAAATAGAGGATGTCAGGACAGGGATTTTTAGAAATCCCTGATCTACTTCAGTACTGGCTGCTGTAAATTTACATATTGTCCAGCTGAACATTCTGCATAAGTGTATTATATAACTCTTTATTGTGTGGAGGGAGGAACAATGAAGTGATAAGCAGAAAAAACCTGATAAACATGGGCACAGATCTAGAAGCAGTACCTACACATGAATTGGTGACGTCATAAAATACATGACCTTCAATCGGGGTCGTTTCCTCGGTATATACGAATTGGTATATACAAATTACAATAAAGATACTTAAGACATTACACATAAGGTAAAACAAATCATGTGACAATATAATGATAATAACGGTAATAAATCCTAGCTTAACAGTTGAACAGAACGCTCATATAGTCAGTCGGGTGACGCCGAGGGTCACGAACTGTGTTGCAAAATGGCCGTGTGGTTGAACCTGGGTCATGGCGTGATGGGTGAGGGAGACATCATTAAACACTCAAAATCACAATAAAACGGGGAAGTGGTTGCATATTACGGCGTAGCCAACATGGGAAATAAAAAAACGCCCAATACAAACGACATGGGTTCGAATCACACTAGATACACA